CACCTTGATGCTGATCTATGTTCAGTTTTGTGTTTTCCACTTCTAATGATTTCATATGAGCTTTTGGTAAGTAAGCTGATCCTAGATCTGTGCATTCGTGCAACTTCTCCCCGGAGCGAGTTTCTCTGCTGTTGAGGTGATGGGACATGTATACACTATGACAACTACTAAAAGGGTTAAGGCAATAATACAAAAAGAAAGAAAGTTGAAAAACAATAGAAATGTATAGCTTTCTCACACCGTTGACAAAAAATGCTAAGTTCTTAAGAAGGTGTAGAAGGGAGAATCATTATTCACAGTCTTAACTCTTTTTACAGAATCCTCACTTTACACAATATTTACAGCCAAACAGAACAGACCCAAACAAAATAAGTAATAGTAGTCACAAAAACACGGCTAATGACGATTATAATGATTTAAAAAAAAATCTTATCATAATTTCAGTACGTAACAACATTTACACACAGACTTGGAAATTGTTTTACAGTAGTCATTCAAAAACAAACCCATCAATATGACAATCGTACAATCTTGGGGGCCATTCTTGAACATCAGCAACCATTTAAATTGAAACAGTTTATCCGTAGATTTACTTGCACATGGCATAACGCTAAATTGTAGCTGGTCCCATCAGATAACATGGAACACGTTAGCCCTATGCTAACCTAACCAGGCAATTATTAAAATAGGTTAACCCTGGCCACTAGAGGGATATTTTAAACCTACAAATTCAAAGTTTACCTTTGGTCCGTTGGTCTGTAACAAAATGTAATGTGCCAATATTGCATTAATGCATCCTTTACTAGGCTACTAGCTACTACTAACGTTAGATGACTGTCAAATAGAAGTAATTCACCATCTGATACTGATACAGCCAAATGTCTTCCTTCATTAAGTCTGTCGATTCGAGTCCTCCGGAGTCGCGATAAACTTTTTTTTAAAGAACAGCAATACTGCCTTCGGTAGGATGATAATGAGAGTGCAACCTATAAACCTATTGTTCACTGTATAATGCTCATCCTCCTCGAGTCAAATAATTCATGTGACAAAGCAGATGATTATAAAAATGCATATAAAACGTTGTAGGCCTACATTTAGGGGTACACGTCCATGTAATATAGCCTATGCAATAACAGTGGCCGTGTCTGAAAACCCATACTAGCGTACTACATACTTAAACTGCATACTATTTACTCATCGTCACATACTATTTAGCACGTACCGTTTAGTAAAAAGTATGCAGTATGCCACAACTTAGTAGTGGATCCTGATTGGCTCAGTAGGTGGTGCGGGGCCGAGTGTGGGTGGATTTTTCCCAATTCAACAGACATACATCGCATTAACCAGCCTGATAATAGTTGATTTCCAATTTGATACATTTCTCTAAAATCTGAATAGAATAGGAATGGAATTATAGGCCTACTCAGGCTGGTTATAAACAGACTACCACATTTGACCTATAACGTAGTAGGCCATGTATCTCATCTATCCTATTTAAAAATGACTGAAGACAGAAACAGATCATTTGGTACCATTTCAATATCTATTACTGAAAGCAAAGTGTTGTAACATACAGTGGGGAAAAAAAGTATTTAGTCAGCCACCAATTGTGCAAGTTCTCCCACTTAAAAAGATGAAAGAGGCCTGTAATTTTCATCATAGGTACACGTCAACTATGACAGACAGATTGAGAAAAAGAAATCCAGAAAATCACATTGTAGGATTTTTTATGAATTTATTTGCAAATTATGGTGGAAAATAAGTATTTGGTCACCTACAAACAAGCAAGATTTCTGGCTCTCACAGACCTGTAACTTCTTCTTTAAGAGGCTCCTCTGTCCTCCACTCGTTACCTGTATTAATGGCACCTGTTTGAACTTGTTATCAGTATAAAAGACACCTGTCCACAACCTCAAACAGTCACACTCCAAACTCCACTATGGCCAAGACCAAAGAGCTGTCAAAGGACACCAGAAACAAAATTGTAGACCTGCACCAGGCTGGGAAGACTGAATCTGCAATAGGTAAGCAGCTTGGTTTGAAGAAATCAACTGTGGGAGCAATTATTAGGAAATGGAAGACATACAAGACCACTGATAATCTCCCTCGATCTGGGGCTCCACGCAAGATCTCACCCCGTGGGGTCAAAATTATCACAAGAACGGTGAGCAAACATCCCAGAACCACACGGGGGGACCTAGTGAATGACCTGCAGAGAGCTGGGACCAAAGTAACAAAGCCTACCATCAGTAACACACTACGCCGCCAGGGACTCAAATCCTGCAGTGCCAGACGTGTCCCCTTGCTTAAGCCAGTACATGTCCAGGCCCGTCTGAAGTTTTCTAGAGTGCATTTGGATGATCCAGAAGAGGATTGGGAGAATGTCATATGGTCAGATGAAACCAAAACTTTTTGGTAAAAACTCAACTCGTCGTGTTTGGAGGACAAAGAATGCTGAGTTGCATCCAAAGAACACCATACCGACTGTGAAGCATGGGGGTGGAAACATCATGCTTTGGGGCTGTTTTTCTGCAAAGGGACCAGGACGACTGATCCGTGTAAAGGAAAGAATGAATGGGGCCATGTATCGTGAGATTTTGAGTGAAAACCTCCTTCCATCAGCAAGGGCATTGAAGATGAAACGTGGCTGGGTCTTTCAGCATGACAATGATCCCAAACACACCACCCGGGCAACGAAGGAGTGGCTTCGTAAGAAGCATTTCAAGGTCCTGGAGTGCCCTAGCCAGTCTCCAGATCTCAACCCCATAGAAAATATTTGGAGGGAGTTGAAAGTCCGTGTTGCCCAGCGACAGCCCCAAAACATCACTGCGCTAGAGGAGATCTGCATGGAGGAATGGGCCAAAATACCCGCAACAGTGTGTGAAAACCTTGTGAAGACTTACAGAAAACGTTTGACCTGTATCATTGCCAACAAAGGGTATATAACAAAGTATTGAGAAACTTTTGTTATTGACCAAATACTTATTTTCCACCATAATTTGCAAATAAATTCATTAAAAATCCTACAATGTGATTTTCTGGATTTTTTTCCCTCGTTTTGTCTGTCATAGTTGACGTGTACCTATGATGAAAATTACAGGCCTCTCTCATCTTTTTAAGTGGGAGAACTTGCACAATTGGTGGCTGACTAAATACTTTTTTCCCCCACTGTATATAAATTAAATCAAATAGCCTAGTACACACACAAAAACTTTTCAGATGTTCAAATCGAAAGGCTATTGCACAGAAAAACGTGGACAGTCGAGTGCATCGCAAATTCAGAACCGCTGGACAGCAACATAATAAACTAAAGCACTGATCATTGGAAACGAGATTAGAATGACTGCTAAGGCTTGATCCATTAATGAAATAGGTAGCCTAGCCTACAAAACTAAAACAAATGGCCTGATTAACATGACATCCTTAACGCTGCTACATCCCGAGTCCCCGGTGCCGACACGTTCAGAAATCAAAAAAGATGGTTGAGTATTTAGTTTAAAAGCTCTGATGAAGGCGAATAGGACAAGAACCCTTTTCAGTGAGAAAACCAAAATCCACTTTGGGTACTTGAAGAGAACTACGGCCTATCACTCGAAGCCCACGTCTTCCAATGAATTGTGGAAAAGTGTGCATCGAATTCTACTACAGTAGATGAAGAGCCGAAATGAGTATAACATCCTGGCATTTAAGCCATACTCGATTTATCGAAATGTCTCATATTAAACGTTTTATTTTCGCATACTGAGAATGCGTCATGAGTAATTGCGTTGTTTCCCGCTATTTGTTGATTTCGGTAGCGCATCCCCATATCTAATTGATCAGCTCTTTTCAAAGCCGAAATGAGTATGACATCTGTGCATTTAAAATAAACTCGATTTTTGAAATGTTGCTTACTATTAAACTAAATTTTTCCAAATACGAAAATGGCCTACTATTTAGGACGCAAGTATGGGTATTCGGACACGGCCAGTGTGTTTGCGTGCAAGGCTAAAAGAGGTAGCTCTTTATTAAAGTAGATCTTAATCTTCATTGTCAAGCTGTTGACTACATCCCTTTTCAACACTAACACAATATATGTAAATATACATTTCAAAAGGGGGGGGGGGGAACGAATGTAAGATTCAAACCCTTGCGACAATTACGTGGACTAGGCACTTTACACATCGAGCAATTTGACCAGTCACTCAAATACATGTGATTGTTGCTTTAATGATGCTGTTGAACTGAGGTATGTTAAGGACACTTCCATGAACAAGTGTTGGAACATGTCCAACTACGTCAACGATTTTAATTGGCTGATGCAGAACTTCTTCGAGGATATAATCACCGCCACCTGGTGAGGTTAGCATAGGGCTAACGTGTGCCATTTTATGATGGGACCAGCTACAATTTAGTGATCTGTCACGTGCAAGTAAATTGATGATTTACATTTTTTTGCCGGAGAAACAGTTTAAATTTAAATGGTTGCTTATGTTCGTAAGTATTGCCCCTTGCTTCTCAATGGCAATTTGTTTATTATTATTATTTTTAGTAATTTTTTTTACAAATGTTCCCATTTCCTTGTGTATTCCCTTTGACAGTTTATATTTTAATTTGTACAAGAGGCCAGGACTGGTGTGATTGGGATTGTGAGGTGGTTTATAATATTCACAAAGCTTTCTATCACAAACAAATTTAAGACCAACAACAAAATGAAAAAACATAGAAATCATGGTTGATACAAAGGGTACCATTTTGCAAACGCCAAACAATGATGAAGATAGTGTCAAAGTGTGACTGTGTCATCGAATATATTTTAAAACTTTTGTTCTGCGACGTTTGTGGTGATTGTTCATTCAACATGCAGATGCAATGCCGCACACAGTGTCTGTGAGGCGGGTGCCTTTTTGACAATTGACATTAGCGCCATTTTTTTTACGCTGCTAAAATGTCACCCATAAATGTGCATCTCGTTATAACGCAAAGAGAAGGAGAAGTCCACATCCATGAAAAACAAAGCTTCATTTGTACTCCTTGTAGAACCTAAAAGACATTAGCGACATCAGTGCCCATATGAAATGCTGTAGATTGGATCTCTAGGATAAGACAACACATCCATTGTACCACTATACAGCAGGGCTGACCTCAGATCAGGTGGGACAAAGACATTGTGTGCTCAATCAGGATCAGTATTTCACACTATAACACATGATGACTACAATAATGATATTGGAAAGCAATTTTTATGGCACTTTTCAAAGAGCTCAAAAAACGTTATATTCTAAAGGAGGGTGGCTCATCTCATCCACCTGGGTCGTATTCAGTAAAAACCAAGCAGAAGAAAATGGACCGAAACGGGGATGTACTACCTGAATTTGTTCAATAAGAAACTCACATTTTCATTTCAGTGTGTAGTAATGAATACAACCCTGGTACGGGGACAGTTGACTACCTCACAGCAGTGTCATCGGTCCCACCTTCTTTGCCCGCTTCGAGGAAAACACAAGGACTGTGAGCTCTCGTTCTCTGTGGCCGACGTGAGTAAGACATTTAAGCGTGTTAACCCTCGCAAGGCTGCCGGCCCAGACAGCATCCCTATCCGCGTGTGCAGTTGGCTAGAGTGTTTATGGACATATTCAATCTCTCTATCCTTGTCTGTTGTCCCCACTTGATTAACCAACAATAATGAGACAGCCTACAGGGAGAACGTGAGGGCCCTGGCGTAGTGGTGCCAGAAAAATAACCTCTCCCTCAACGTCAACAAAATGAAATGAAGGAGCTGATCGTGGACTTCAGGAGACAGCAGAGAGAGCACGCCCCCATCCACATCGATGTTGCTGCAGTGGAGAGGATGAAACGCTTCTAGTTCCTCAGTGGGCACATCACTGACAACCTGAAATGGTCCATTCACAGACAGTGTGGTGAAGAAGGAGGCTGAAGAAATTAGGCTTGGCCCCTAAGACCCTCATAAACTTCTACAGATGCATCATTGAGAACATCCTGTCGGGCTGTATTACCACCTGGTATGGCAATTGCACCGTCCGCAATCGCAGGGCTCTCCAGAGGGTGGTGCAATCAGCCCGAAAGCATCACCGGGGGCACACTGCCTGCCCTCCAGGACATCTACAGTACCCGGTGTCACAGGAAGACCAAGAAAATCATCAAGGACCTCAGCCATCCGAGCCACGGCCTGTTCACCCTCGCTACCATCTAGAAGGCAGAGACAGTACAGGTGCATCAAAGCTTGGGCCGAGAGACTGAAAAATAGCTTATCTCTCCAGGCCATCAGACTGTTAAACAGTCACCACTAGCCGGCCCCCGCCCAGCACCCTGCCCTGAACCTTAGTCACTGTTACTAGCCGGCTACCACCTGGTACTCTACCTGCATCTTAGATATTGCTGCCCTATGTACATAGTCATTGAACACTGGTCACTTTAGTAATGTTTACATACCATTTTACCCACTTCATATGTACAGTATATACTGGATTTTAGTCAAGGCTCATCCTATATAACTACTGCTGTACACACCTTTTCTATTCATATACTGTCCATACTGTCTATATACACCACTATATACATTTATATTTCAGACTCTGACATTGCATGTTCTGATATTTCTTAATTTCTTTCTTTAAATTTTTGGGGATTTGTGTGTATTATTTTGTATTGTTAGGTATTCCTGCACTGTTGGAGCTAGAAACATAAGCATTTCACTGCACCTGCGATAACATCTGCAAAATATGTGTACGCGACCAATACAATTTCATTTGAGAGAAACTCGGGGGAAAGAATTGCGCTGGTAGCCGCTAGATGCAGTTGTAATAAACACAGCAGTTTCTGTTTTCTTCATGCAAATGTGGCTCTATCTTTTGAACCATTTAAGCTACAAAATATTATGACCCCATCAAACATACGATTCTCAGGAACACGCATGCGTTTTCTGTCTCCCTCTACAATTCCCACATGTCACACAGGACTCATTAGAACAGAGTGGACAAGACCAGGCAGTAAATCAGACTGGGGAAAAAAAGCATCATCAACGATGATGTTCTTTTCTACACAGAAGATCATACAAAATTATTGCCTGATGATTTTCTGAACTTCCCAACACATTTCCGATGCATTTCAGTCACTTCAAACCATAATTCCTTCACATTGAAATACTGTCAAAAGTACGGTCAGACTGATTTCTAATAGACTGTCATAGCCCCAATTTAAAAAAACTGTCCCTTGATTACATAACTTTTTACATGGTGGGGTAGCAATTATTTTTTTATCAAAATGGGGTTGTGGGCCAAAAGAGTTTGGGAATCCCTGGTATACACACACTCACACACATGCACGCACACAACCTACACACACGTATAAGGGTGCAAGTAGGGGGTGAGTGAGGAAACGGTTATATGTGGGTCGGTCTCCTCCTGTAGTTGTATAACAGACACACACTCCATCTCTCCGTCTGTCAGCGATACAGTGTGGCTTGAAGAACCAGTGTGGACACACAGCTCTAGCCACTGCCCTAACCCAGGCAGAGTGTGTGTGTGCGCGTGCGTATGTGCGTGGAAAAAAGGTCCAAAGGTAGGGTCTTCAAACAGTATGACCAGTCTAGGATTGGAGGAAAGGAGCTATTGGAGTGGAGGAGAGGAGTACGGCTTCCGAAAGAGGAGTGTTTAGTTGTTCTGAAGGCAGTCCAGCTCCACCGAGCAACACACACTTCCATTCTGACCACGGCAGTGATACAAAAGGGGAACATGAAGAAAAAAAAAGAGAGACAGGTAGTTAGTTCCATTCTGTTTGTGCTTGTTTGCTTATGTTACCATGTGTGTGTGATGCAAGGTGAAGTTAGGGCTGGGATTCAACAAATGTTAAAAGGTAATTTACGCTATAGAGTCGACATCTGCAGCATTTACCATGAATGCGATCTCTGCGAACATCGGGGAAAATGCCTTTAAAAAGTGCATTATCGGCTGTACAGTGTGCTGCCCTCTGATGTGCCCTGCATTGAATCCTGGCCTAGGTTAGGGTTGCCTGCTTTGTTCTTGCAGGTGACAAAGCTGTGTGTGTTTGTGTTCCTGTAAATATGCAGGGTGGTCCTGGCATTGGCTGTGTGTCTAAAAGGTGTGCCTGTATGACACAATATCAGCAGAACCTGTACAATACTTTGCACTTGCAGGAGGTGCAGGGAAAGCTTGCCATTCACTCTGTGTGTGTGTGTGTGTGTGTGTCAGTGTGTGTGTATTGACATTTTAGTCATTTAGCAGACGCTCTTATCCAGAGCGATTTACAGTTAGTAAGTGCATACATTTTTCAAACTATGTATGTATGTATGAATGTATGTACAGTACCAGTCAAAAGTTTGGACACACCTACTCATTCAAGGGTTTTCCTATATTTTTACAATTTTCTACATTGTAGAATATTTACATTTTTGTCATTTAGCAGACGCTCTTATCCAGAGCAACTTAGAGTTAGTGAGTGCATACATTTTTTTTTTTCATACTGGCCCCCTGTGGAAATTAAACCCACAACCCTGGCGTTGCAAGCGCCATGCTCTACCAACTGAGCTACACGGGGCCATTATAGAGAAGACATCAACACTATGAAATAACACATATGGAATCATGTAGTAACCAAACAAGTGTTCAACAAATCAAAATATGTTTTACATTTGAGATTCTTCAAATAGCCACCCTTTGCCTTGATGACAGCTTTGCACACTATTGGCAATCTCTCAACCAGCTTCACCTGGAATGCTTTTCCAACAGTCGTGAAGGAGTTCCCACATATGCAGAGCACTTGTTGGCTGCTTTTCCTTCACTCTGCCGTCCGACTCCTCCCAAACCATCTCAATTGGGTTGAGGTCGGGGGATTGTCGAGGCTAGGTCATCTGATGCAGCACTTCATCACTCTCCTTCTTGGTAAAATAGCCCTTACACAGCCTGGAGGTGTGTTGGGTCATTATCCTGTTGAAAAACAAATGATAGTCCCACTAAGCCCAAACCAGATGGGATGGCATATCACTGCAGAATGCTGTGGTAGCCATGCTGGTTAAGTGTGCCTTGAATTCTAAATAAATCACAGACAGCATCACCAGCAAAGCACCCCCACACCATAACACCTCCTCCTCCATGCTTTACGGTGGGAACTAAACATGCGGAGATCATCCGTTCATGCACACCGCGTCTCACAAAGACACGGCGGTTGGAACCAAAAATCTCCAATTTGGATTCCAGACCATAGGACACATTTCCACCGGTCTAATGTCCATTGCTCGTGTTTCTTGGCCCAAACAGGTCTCTTCTTATTATTGGTGTCCTTTAGTTGTGTTTTTTTTTACAGCAATTAGACCATGAAGGCCTGTTTCACACAGTCCCCTCTGAACAGTTGAGGTTGAGATGTGTCTGTGAGTTGAGCTCTGTGATGCATTTATTTGGGCTGCATTTTTTGAGGCTGGTAACTCTAATGAACTTATCCTCTGCAGCAGAGGTAACTCTGGGTCTTCCATTCCTGCGGCGGTCCTCATGAGAGCCAGTTTCATCGTGGCGCTTGATGGTTTTTGCAACTGCACTTGAAGAAACTTTCAAAGTTATTGACATTTTCCAGAGTGACTGACCTTCATGTCTTAAAGTAATGATGGACTGTCCTTTCTCTTTGCTTATTTGAGCTGTTCTTGCCATAATATGGACTTGGTCTTTTACCAAATAGGGCTATCTTCTGTATACCCCCCATACCTTGTCACAACACAACTGATTGGCTCAAACACATTAAGAAGGAAAGAAATTCCACAAATTAACTTTTCAGAAGGCACACCTGTTAATTGAAGTGCATTCCAGGTGACTACCTCATGAAGCTGGTTGTGAGAATGCCGAGAGTGTGCAAAGGTGTCATCAAGGAAAGGGTGGCTATTTGAAGAACCTAAGTATATTTTGATTTGTTTAACACTTGTTTGGTTACTACATGATTCAATGTGTGGTATTATATAGTGTTGATGTCTTCACTATTATTCTACAATGTAAAAAATAGTAAAAATAAAGAAAAACCCTTGAATGAGTAGGTGTGTCCAAACTTTTGACTGGTACTGTATGTGTGTTTTTGCGTGCGCCTGTGTGTGTATATGTGTTTGTCTGTGTGTGTGTGTCTGTGTCAGTTAAGAGATGAGTTGTTGTTGTTACCTTGCACTTGCAGGTGGTACAGGGTGACCCTGGCATGGGCCACGTGGCACTGCTGAGGCGGGTGATGCCCGTGGGGTCCTGGCAGGTCTGCCTGATGTCGTAGGCAATATTGTCTGCCACGCAGGGGTCAGTGACGCAGTGCGGGCAACATTCACCCTCCGCCAAGGCTGAGTACTTGCATGACAACACTGGACACGCCAGGGGCCAGCAGTCCACCTCTCCCTCCTACAGAGAGAGAGAGAGAAAGAGAGAGAAGGGGAGAGGGATTGGAGGAGAATAAAAGAAAAACAAGGGCCGAAAAAAATAGTTTGGAACAGTCCTTATAACCGCTGGACCCTGAGATGACTACTATGGGGTATTGTAAGACCATATTGAAAGGATAAATCTAGGAGTAGAGAGACAAGTGTCTGAGCAGCTCTCTGATGTGAATCACCTGATGGCTGACAGTGGGATCAGTACATATACTTAAGCAATAAGGTCCAAGTGGGTGTGGTATATGTCCAATATACCACAGCTAAGGGCTGTTCTTAGGCAAGACACAACACGGAGTGCGTGGATACAGCCCTTAGCCATGGTATATTGGCCATATACCACAAACCTCGAAGGTGCCTTATTGCTATTATAAACTGGTTATACCTGTGGTATTATGTCTGATATACCACGGCTGTCAGCCAATCAGCATTCAGGGCTCGAAGCACACAGTTTATAATATCAGTTTAATATCACAGGCTCACACTCTAGATTCTCTGTCTCTCTTGGTGTGAGTCACTTGAAGGTTTGGCCATAGGCTACAGTAGTGACACCTGTGTCTAAGGCCTTAGAATGTATTTATTCCTTTCTGATGACACCTGAAGGCTGGCTGGGCCAATTAGAGTGGTTGTTGGTGCCGTGCTGATCCTGGGATTTGTGTTTCCACGGCAGCACCGCTTCGCTAATTGCACAGCTGTCAGAGCCCACTAATTATTAGGTCCACCAGAGTAAGGTCATACACCTCGCACATGTACACACACACACAAAGACGTCACACACATTCACAAACGCAGCCAAGGCCACAAAAATTATAATTGTATTTCATATCAAGATGGTATCATCTGCTTTTTCTTCAGTTATCAGGCTTCTTCACAGCCTGTCTCATTAGCATGCAAGGAACTGCTTTGTTTCCAGGTAGCCATAATAATTAGCTGGGTGCTGCTCATGGAAGACACGCAATCATGATCAGAGGAGACACACATCCTCTTCATCCATGTTGCACAAGTTTAAAACGTGCGTGTGTGAACAAGAGAGTGTGTGTGTTTGTGTACAACAAAGTACACAAGAAGTGTGTGTGTGTGTGAATGTCTGTGTGTCTGTATGTGCATTCAAGCATGTGTATATGCATGCAAACGTCTGTGTGTGTGTACATACCAGGCAGCGGCACTGCTGGCAGCTGTAGATCCAGGAGTCTCTGCTGCGGTACAGTGTGTGTCCACTCTGGTGCAGACATTGGCTGGACTTTCTGGAGTCACACTCAGGACAGCAGAACAGGTCTGCCTCGGGGTCCGCACAGTCACACTCTCTCCTCCTGCAGAAGGTGCGTCCATCCTGGGGACAAGGTAAATGCATAGGAATACAAAGGAATGTCAAGGCCATGTCCTTAGATGGACCAGCGGTCTAAGCCGCTGACTCTGGATCACGTACTATGTACCGCTGTGAGAATGGGTTTGAATCCGACCCCCCCCCCAAAAAAAAATCTATATAGTTCTACAAGCAAATAATCCTCAATCCCAGCATGGCTGGAACTTTGAAGACTTTCTTCCAAAATTCTAATTAACTACTATAATCAGGACAGTGACATCCATCCACCCACAAAGTGTTTAAGACTGCAGTTATGTTGTACAAATGGTAATCTTGGCTGGTTTTGCTTGTAAATAATTTTTCTGTTTTATTACTGATATTTTAATATGTGATTGCTTGAATGCAAATACAAACACATACACACACAGAGACATGCACACACACACACACATTGGTATGCCTCCTACCCTACCTAGCTACCTACAGTCTTATCTAAACAGTTACACTCACTCCTCCTACAGAAGGTATAACCATCCTGTCAGAAAGAGACATTGATAAGGCTACAGCCTACCTACAGAAAGGCTACAGTAACTACAATGTACAGTATCTACATTTACATTATAGAGAAAAATATACTTTATTGAGCAAGGCCATTCCCAACAATACTGACTACAATTTGTCATTGACGTTTTGATAGGAGTGTTTTTAGGGGCTTAGGGTTTTGTATTGGATTTCTGGTCAAGGCCATGGGTGTCACTCTTTCTACAGAGATTCAAGGCTCTCGACCAGTAAAAACTTTATGATCCATTTTACTTGCCACACTGAGACCTTGCCAGCTTGGCAATGAGCACAATAATGGAGATATAAAAACCCTATATAAAAGGCTGTTGCAAAATGTATATGGGACATAAAATGAACTTGCATAATGAGTAGCCAATATTTTATTGGTGCGTATTGTCTCCCTACAGTAGCCAGTAACTCTCATGGTGCTAATATCCAAGAGCTTTATTGGCGTTAGCCTTTTAATGTTATTGCTGTGGATATGAGTAGCACCGCAAATTTTACTCGGGTGGCAGACTAATGCCATGCAATATCATTCCCATTGTAACAATGCTTTGGAATAGCCTTGAAATTAGGCATTTTACAGCATTGTTTTATTTACCAAATAAATGGCAAGTTTGTAATGTTAAAAATGCATAGCTTTCAATAATGCAAACAACCTCCAATTCAATACATAATAATACATTTTGGGGCAACCACCCTAAAAATCTGAGATAGTCCCAATCTCTATCTGAGAAACCGTTTAAGGTTGACTGGAATACCTCTGTGTGTAGCCCTAATGTTATATTGGATAATCTTTAAATTGAATATACTTTTACTCAGCTTGACATTATTTTCGTTGCCGTGCAGAAGTCATGCTGAAGACAATTCCAATCAATATCTGAGCTTCTTACCGGCCGTGTTTCCAATGCGAGTTTTTCATGCTCATGCCTATAGCGATTGACTACTAAGCTGCAAACATGTTCACCTTTTTCCCAATGAGATTGATAACAATGTAAGATTGTAAACAATGGGAGGTACAAATATATACTTTGATTAGCCAGTGGTAGGCCTATACTTAATACTAAAGCCTGGCAAGTGTCCTGAAAAGTCCATCATTAGCATTAGCTTGCACTATTCTGATAAAATCTCACTAGTTCATGTTTACTTGATTAGTTACCCAGTGAGCAAAATTATGTTGGAAATACATATTTTTCAGATGTTGAAATCAGGTAAATTTTCGTTTCTGAATGTAAATTGAAAATACATTTTTCTTTTACTTTTCTTTTCCTCCCAAACTTTATTCACAATTAAAATAAAATAGGGCTAACTGAAGATTGCATTATGCAATATTTATTAATGCTCCCATCTGTCATATGCACTTATGTTTGCTTTTTCAAAGCTATAGAACTGGCAGTAATCATGTTCAAAGGGGTGGACAAGGGGTGGACATTCAGTGCAGTAAAGTACATTAGAGTATAGTACAATAGAGTACATTATACTGTAATCTACTCTACTTTTCTTTACTTTACTGTACTCTGCTATGCTCTACTGTACTGTGTTGTACTGTACTCTGCTGTGCTCAACTATAATGTACTGCTCTGTACTGTGTTGTACTGTGCTGCCCAAACTTGTGAAACATAAAAGTCTATGATTGGTTCAGATTTGGTCCGGTCCGGACTAGATCTGAACCAATTATAGACGTCTATGTTTGGGCCAAATCAATCAGTTTGTGGACATTGAAATCAAAGCCGGTGCGGACCAAATCTAAACCAAACATAGATGCCTATGATTGGTTCAGATTTGGTCTGGGTAAGCTAGCATATACAGTGGGGAGAACAAGAATTTGATACACTGCCGATTTTGCAGGTTTTCCTACTTACAAAGCATGTAGAGGTCTGTAATTTCCAGAAAATCACATTGTATGATTTTTAAGTAATTCATTTGCATTTTATTGCATGACATAAGTATTTGATCACCTACCAACCAGTAAGAATTCCGGCTCTCACAGACCTGTTAGTTTTTCTTTAAGAAGCCCTCCTGTTCTCCACTCATTACCTGTATTAACTGCACCTGTTTGAACTCGTTACCTGTATAAAAGGCACCTGTCCACACACTCAATCAAACAGACTCCAACCTCTCCACAATGGCCAAGACCAGAGAGCTGTGTAAGGACATCAGGGATACAATTGTAGACCTGCACAAGGCTAGGATGGGCTACAGGACAATAGGCAAGCAGCTTGGTGAGAAGGCAACAACTGTTGGCACAATTATTAGAAAATGGAAGAAGTTCAAGATGACGGTCAATCACCCTCGGTCTGAGGCTCCATGCAAGATCTCACCTCGTGGGGCATCAATGATCATGAGGAAGGTGAGGGATCAGCCCAGAACTACACGGCAGGACCTGGTCAATGACCTGAAGAGAGCTGGGACCCCAGTCTCAAAGTAAACCATTAGTAACACACTACGCCGTCATGGATTACAATCCTGCAGCGCACGCAAGGCCCCCCTGTGGTCTGATGAGACAAAAATAGAGCTTTTTGGTCTAAACTCCACTCGCCGTGTTTGGAGGAAGAAGAAGGATGAGTACAACCCCAAGAACACCATCCCAACCGTGAAGCATGGAGGTGGAAACATCATTCTTTGGGGATGCTTTTCTGCAAAGGGGACAGGACAACTGCACCATATTGAGGGGAGGATGGATGGGGCCATGTATCGCGAGATCTTGGCCAACAACCTCCTTCCCTCAGTAAGAGCATTGAAGATGGGTCGTGGCTGGGTCTTCCAGCATGACAACGACCCGAAACACACAGCCAGGGCAACTAAGGAGTGGCTCCGTAAGAAGCATCTCAAGGTCCTGGTGTGGCCTAGCCAGTTTCCAGACCTGAACCCAATAGAAAATCTTTGGAGGGAGCTGAAAGTCCGTATTGCCCAGCGACAGCCCCAAAACCTGAAGGATCTGGAGAAGGTCTGTATGGAGGAGTGGGCCAAAATCCCTGCTGCAGTGTGCGCAAACCTGGTCAAGACCTACAGGAAACGTATGATCTCTGTAATTGCAAACAAAGGTTTCTGTACCAAATATTAAGTTCTGCTTTTCTGATGTTTCAAATACTTATGTCATGCAATAAAATGCAAATTAATTACTTAAAAATCATACAATGTGATTTTCTCGATTTTTGTTTTAGATTCCGTCTCTCACAGTTGAAGTGTACCTATGATAAAAATTACAGACCTCTACATGCTTTGTAAGTAGGAAAACCTGCAAAATCGGCAGTGTATCAAATACTTGTTCTCCCCACTGTAACTAGCATGTCACAGGCTGAAATGAGATCTTTGTGTTGGAGACTATTTTCATATCAGGTTCTGGTGTCCTATAGAGAAAGACAGGCTGTGAGACCCACTACACAGATCAGGTGTTGAAGTCGTGCAGAGAGCTGGGCTTTGGCTACTTACTTACTGAGTCACAGATACCTGAGGCTAAATAGAGACAGCAGCCAAGGTACATAGATCTCACTCACAATCCTCCCTTCCTCCCTCTCTTTTCCTCTCTCTTTGTTGCCTGTACTCTTTCTCTCGAGTCATACAGTTGAAGTCGGAAGTTTACATACACTTAGTTTGGAGTCATTAAAACTTGTTTTTCAACCACTCCACAAATTTCTTGTTAACAAACTATAGTTTTGGCAAGTCGGTTAGGACATCTACTTTGTGCATGACACACGTCATTTTTCAAACAACTGTTTACAGACAGATTATTTCACTTTTAATTCACTGTATCACAATTCCAGTGGGTCAGAAGTTTACATACACTAAGTTGACTGTGCCTTTAAACAGCTTGGAAAATTCCAGAAAATTATGTCATGGCTTTAGAAGCTTCTGATAGGCTAATTGACATCATTTGAGTCAATTGGAGGTGTACCTGTGGATTTATTTCAAGGCCTACCTTCAAACCAGTGCCTCTTTGCTTGACATCATGGGAAAATCTAAAGAAATCAGCTAAGACCTCAGATTTTTTTTTTTAGACCTCCACAAGTCTGGTTCATCCTTGGGAGCAATTTCCAAACGCCTGAAGGTACCACATTCATCTGTACAAACAATAGTACGCAAGTATAAACACCATGGGACAACGCAGCCGTCATACCGATCAGGAAGGAGACGCGTTCTGTCTCCTAGAGATGAACGTACTTTGGTGCGAAAAGTGCAAATCAATCCCAGAACAACAGCAAAGGACCTTGTGAAGATGCTGGAGGAAACAGGTACAAAAGTATCTATATCCACAGTAAAACGAGTCCTATACCGACATAACCTGAAAGGTCGCTCAGCAAGGAAGAAGCCAGTGCTTCAAAACCGCCATTAAAAAGCCAGAATTCGGTTTGCAACTGCACATGGGGACAAAGATCGTACTTTTTGGAGAAATGTCCTCTGGTCTGATTAAACAAAAATAGAACTGTTTGTCCATCGTTATGTTTGGAGGAAAAAGGGGAACGCT